AGGTGCGTCACCGAGGACAAAACAGGTGATTCTCCCTGATCCACAGCAGCGAAACGCATCAGGCACAAATAAAAGAATAAAAGACAGAAAACATAAAAGGAAATTAGCCGACATAAACGATCATGTGTTAAATTAGTTTTTGAGGTGGCGACTCCTGATTTGATAATGTTACTGTGGCCGTGCTCAGGACACAGATGTCTGGAGCGCGTCAACAATCAGAGCTTTGCATGCGCAAGCTGGTTAAGGTTAGGATGGGGGTGAGGGGAAGGTTAAATTGCAAGAGGGTAAAGGTCACAATTTGGTTAAATGTCAGTTTTACGGCGGGTGTCAGTCCCGACGCTCTGGCACAGCGCGTTGCCTCCCGACGCACAGGAGCTTGTCACCTGCTGACAGCTGGCTGCTGTCTTTTCTGTGGACTGCATCTTGCCGGTCATTATCACGTGACAGCGACTAGTCAATGACAGGAATAAAAAGTCACTATAGAGCGGTGAAGTCGACTAGTGACTAGTTCATACAACCCCTGCTACTGCTCCCCAGAGTGTTCTGCAGCATAATCAGCACGTTCTCTTTGAACTTGATATCAAATTTTCGCCTCCTCTTTGTCTCCGCACGGTTAAAGTTACCCTCGCGGTCTATCACTGGCAAATCAAAAGTGAGACGGATGACACAACTGCCCCCCGTACTTGCTTGTTACCACATTCCACCCGGCCACAATAAAAAACCGGCCATTATTCACCTCCGCCGACTCCGACACCGGCCAACATATGATACCTGGCAGTTAATTAAATACAGGCTAATAATAGAGGATTTACGGTCTATACACACACACACACACACACACACACACACACACACACACACACACACACACACATACATATACATATATATATATATATATATATATATATATATATATATATATATAATTTTGGGGTTTAGTTACTCTTTAAGGTCAGAGGTCATGATTCAACAACAAGAACACCATGAAGGGTGCCAAAATTACCTCCATGGGAGAGGTCCAAGATCAGACATCTGCTGATTAAAATAGTCACAAAAGCTAAAATAGACACAAAAGCTAAATTAGACACAAAAGCTAAAATAAAGCTAATTCCATGCTGTAGTTCTTTTTTAAAACACAGAGCAGTTCTTTTTACCTGTTTTCCCGCAAACATAGCGGGAAAACAGGTAAACAGAACTGCTCTGTGTTTTAAAAAAGAACTACAGCATGGAATTAGAGAAACGACACAGCAAGAACAGACCTAAGAAGATAAAGCTAAGATAGATACAAAAGCTAAAATAGACACAAAGGCTTAAATAGACACAAAAGCTAAAATAGATACAAAGGATAAGATAGACACAAAAGCTAAAATAGACACAAAAGCTAAGATAGATTAAAACAAGCTAAAATAGACACAAAATCTAAAATAGACACAAAAGCTAAAATAGATAAAGCGAATTCCATGCTGTAGTTCTTTTTTAAAACACAGAGCAGTTCTGTTTACCTGTTTCCCCCCAAATGTAGCGGGAAAACAGGTAAACAGAACTGCTCTGTGTTTTAAAAAAGAACTACTGCATGGAATTAGAGAAACGACACAGCAAGAACACACCTGAGAAGATAAAGCTAAGATAAATACGAAAGCTAAAATAGACACAAAAGCTAAAATAGACACAAAATATTAAATAGACACAAAAGCTAAGATAGATTTAAAAAAAAAAGCTAAACTAGACACAAAAGCTAAAATAGACACAAAATCTAAAATGGACACAAAAGCTAAAATAGACACAAAATCTAAAATGGACACAAAAGCTAAGATAGATAAAAAAGCTAAAATAGATACAAAAGCTAAAATAGACACAAAAGCTAAAACAGACACAAAAGCTAAAATAGACACAAAAGCTAAAATAGCTACCAAAGCTAAAATAGACACAAAAGCTAAGATAGATATAAAAGTTAAAATAGACATAAAAGCTAAAATAGACACAACAGCTAAAATAGACACAAAGCTAAACTAGATACCAAAGCTAAAATAGACACAAAAGCTAAGATAGATATAAAAGTTAAAATAGACAAAAAAGCTAACATAGACACAAAAGCTAAAATAGACACAAAAGCTAAAATAGATACCAAAGCTAAAATAGACACAAAAGCTAAAATACATACCAAAGCTAAAATAGACACAAAAGCTAAAACAGATACCAAAGCTAAAATACCGTAGCCACAAAAGCTAAAATAGATATAAAAGTTAAAATAGACAAAAAAGCTGAAATAGACACAAAAGCTAAAATACATACCAAAGCTAAAATAGACACAAAAGCTAAAACAGATACCAAAGCTAAAATAGACACAAAAGCTAAAATAGATACAAATGCTAATTTAACATAAAGAAATCTGGACTGATGAGCTGGAAGTGGAACTTTTTGGACATGTTACATCTGGAGTAAAACTAAAAGCATTAGTCAGACATGGTGGTGATGGTGGTGCTTTGCTGCTTTAAGACCAGAACCACTTGCTGTAAGAGATGGAACTATAAATTCTGCTCTAACCTGATAGAGAATGAGTGACCTTTGACCTTGAACAGGTTGTTCATGCTAGAAAAACCTAGCTTAGACATCTAGACACACCGTAGAAGTAGCACAAAATTTTGTACTGTTGGCCAGTCTAGCCACAATCCATTGTAGCATCAGCAGGTCTACCATTGACTCAGACTATTTTAGAGCCAGCCAATCACAGCAATTTGTGTTTGTAGAGAGATGTTGGGTGGGCTTACAGCCAGAGCAAAAACTACAAAGATTGTGTGGGCTCAGAAACGATGGCTTGTTTTAAACCACTGGCATCCACTTTGGATGATTTAGACTTGGGCTTTTCATTGAGACATGAGCAGCTAGAGGTACTCAAGTCCTTCATTTAGAAAAAGGATGTTGTTGCTTCTTCTTCTATGGTGTATAATGGACTGCCCAGTGACTGATTTCCGAAGCGCTGAATATGTCATGTTGTTCGTTGCTCTGATTGGTCCTAGCACTGTCCAACATGCAGAGACAGTTTGAAAGACAAACATAGATTCCGTCCTGTGAGCTTGGTCTTTGGTTTGTAGCCAGACTATATATTTACGTATGTAGGATGGCTTGTCAGGAAAACCCTTCAATATGACTGAATTAAAAATAATTCTGCAAAAAAAAAAAAAAAAAAAAAAAAGAGTTGGACAACAGATTTCTTAACACTATACGGTTATTAAGTGTAGGGGTCAGTTACCTTTTCCCCATGGGACAGGGTTTGTGGTCTTTGTCTGATACGGAAGGGAATTTGTTGATCTGAAACATTTAGGAGATAAAAAGCAGAAGCAGAAAAAAACCCAGAAAAATTCTAAAACTTTTTCACAGTGCTTCAGACATTACTGTAAAACTTTTAACAGCAGTTTCTAGAGTCAAAATGAACACTAACATAGCAACACACGGCATGGAGGTCTAAACTTAGGCTTCCCATGTTCAGTTGACAGAGCCCGGCGCTATTCTTAGCTCATGATAGAGAATGTGCCAAGCTGAACCAGCCGGGAAGTCAACGCCGTGTTACTTCCTGTCTGATCTGAGCTGATACCCACCCTACGGGACATTTCAGCCACTGACACACGCACACACACATATACACACATGCACACACGCACGCACGCATGCACACACACAATACTGTAACCTCTCGAGCTGAGTGTGGAAGGGTGGAGATGTTTTTGAAGAAATCCTCCTCAAATGGAGGTACATGTAGGTGTTTTCTGTGTGTTTGCACTTATTATTAATAGTTGTGTGTGTTCTGACACAGACTATTGCTTCAATATTATTGACTGTGGGAAAAAACAACAAAAAAAAAAACAAATCTGAGAGTGTGTGTTTGCACATGAAGTTTTTTTTTTCATGAAAAGCATAAATTCAAAATCTAAAAGGCATGTCTTTAGGCCACTAGAGGGAGCTCATCGTGTTTGTGTGCTGGTTTTTAGTGATATTATCCCCTCGGTATTACAACCAGGCAACTGGAACAAAATGGAATGAAAAAAAACCAGAGTAGTCTATATAGTGGGGGTAATTTTGGTCCGGCTTTAGCTTTTGTCCGTTTGTTCCTCTCTGTAAATCAAAAAGAAGCCCCATGAATCACACGGTAGCCATTTTGTCCTTGTCTAATGAAACTAAAATGATCTCTTTTTTTTGATGACTCACCTTTGCATGTGTTTGCTTCCGTTACCCCAGAGACCTGGGTTGACCTCTGCTGCGAATCGGAGATACGTAAGCTGAACTGAGGGGTCGGACGTCTATCAGTTCATTGTCCTGTCGAACCCCTCCAATAACTGTCTGACACACCCGGCAGACAGGAAATCAGAGCTCCGGACTCCATGTCACAGGAAGTCTGAGAAAGATAACATAAATTCATTGTATGTTCTTTGAGAATTGCTCACTTACAGCACTGAGTATACATGACCTCACTGATCAGTGGTGTCCAACCATGTTCTAGTTGTTTCCCTCCACCCCACCTGATTCATGGGTTTAATTACCATTTTAGAATTTCACCAAACTTTGCCTGTTAATGACCTAAAACCAGGTGTGTTGAAGCAAATAACCTTCTAGTGCTGTCTGGATGGTGGTACTATGCTTTCCACACAGACTTGTCCTAAGGAGAAAGAAAATGCTGTTTGATGGTCCCGGTTTGGGTTGGTGTGATTCAAAGATGGACTTTGGGTCATGTTTGGGTGCCCCATGTCAACACCATGTCTTAATAAGGACAACCAATGTGGTAGCTAGATGAAGCCTTGCTAACCAATGACACGTGTTTATGGGCTGGCTACTGTAATCTCACCCCATTCCAAGGTGACTAATCCTTGTTTAGCAAACCTTTTCTAAATGGTGACAACTCCCACATGCTTTAGTGAGTTCCCGCAAAATGATCAGAAAATGAATTCCTTTTGAATTAATTATATTTTAGTTTAGTTTAAAGCTTGTTTCTGTATTGTCTTCAGGGTCCAAGAAGAAGACAAAGGTTATTAAAAACAACCCCAACCCTGTTTGGAATGAGGTAAGTCCACAAATCACCCAAATTAGATTTTGCCTTTAAAGGGGCGGTAGAATGTAAAACCACATTTATCTTGTTGCTGTTGAATAATGTAGCAAACCCAAACCTCAGAACCGTGTCTGTCCTGCTTTCTATGCAAATCAGTCGTCTTGAAAAGACAAGGGAGAGACGGTTCTAGAAGAGCTTAAAAAACACATAATATTTATGCCACTCCTATTTCTACCCACTTCATTGTCTAGAATTTGTAAACCTTGGTCTCGCTAATGCTAATTGCTGAACGCTATACCAAGCTGCTATTAACACTAACCTAAGCTACTGCTAACGGTAAGTCAGACTAATCACTGGGTTGAACTGCTGCTAATGTCTTTGTGAATGTGAGGAAAACAAAATCAATCAATCAGATTTTATTTAAGTGCTTTTCAAGCAACGTGCTTTACAGAATTAAAATGACCCCAAGTTGAGCCAGGTAAGGTAAGGCAAGGAAACGCCATCAGAGGAGCCGTCTGCCCCGGCAGCATCAGGTCATCCACAGCAACTAAGTCAGGGCGCTCAGAGGAGGGAGAGCTCACGCATTCATGCTGCAGGATGTACTGGGACACGTACATTCTTATTTGTTAGCTAACTTCTCGACAATCTGCAGGACAGTCACTCTGCTGAATGCTAACTTCCGTGGCAAAGTCCCTGCTTCACAGCCAGCGATGCAGTCCCTTTATTCATATAATTAAAATTTTAAAGACTGACCAGTCCATAAGAAATGTCGCCAACTCTGCTTCAGTCTGGGTACTGCTGCAAACACCCGCGGACGCTCTGTGATGGACATCTGCACGTAAGTGGATGTCTAACGCTATTGGCTAATGCTGAACGGCGTTCAATTCAAATTTTATAGGGCTCTACAAGATGGGGGGTGGGCTTAGCAAGAACAAAAAAACCTGATGTATTGTCGTTATCATATGACACTACAAGGTAAGACTTCCACTTTTTACTGATCTCTAAAAAAAATTCTACATAATTCCCAAAAGCATAAAAACTCTGGATTTCTGCTTTAATGTAAAATGATGCCCAAAACATAGTTGGGGAGAAAATCTCAGAAATAACCAGACTTCCGATGTATAAAATGATCTGAAACAAATTAACAAAAAAAAATGACAAACCTTCACCAACCTGTTACAGATTCATGCGTAAACATCAGTTTTTTCATGTTATGTCTGTCAGGGATTTGAGTGGGATCTGAAGGGGATTCCTCTGGACTCTGGAGCAGAGATCCATTGTGTCGTCAAAGACCATGAGAAGATGGGACGGAACAGGTACAGAATTGTCTCGTTACTTTCAGACTGAGAAGAATAGAGAATAATTACACCTATTAGCTCTTTCATATTGTTATTCTGAGGTATAAACTAGACTTTATCCCATCATGGTTGATGACACCTGGACTGGATTATATTTGGTCTGTTTTTCTTTGCCGAGGGGAGGGGGCCATGACAGAATCAGGTCATCCTTTCATTGTGGCTTTATTTAGTCATATTTCCACCCATTCACAGCTTCCATGTAAACTGATTAATAGATCCATTCATCAGCCAGAGTCTGACCCACTTTGTTTTGGTGAAACAAGAGGCTGGATGTGACGGGAACACTAGTTTTGTTTGGGACACACTGGTTTATTGAGAAGATAACAGTGACCTTTTGATCCTCTCGACAACAAAAGATTTGTTGAGAAAATTCATTAAAGGTTCAATGCAGAAGTTGTTGGCATTTGTCCACCATTTTGCAACATCCATCCATCCATCCATCCATCCATCATCCATCCATCCATCCATCCATCCATCCATCCATCCATCCATCCATCCATCCATTCATCCATCCATCCATCCATCCATCCATCCATCCATCCATCCATAAATCCATCCATTCATCCATCCATCCACATCAACTTAACCTAGATGAGGCTGTAGAGGTAGCAGATCCAAGAGATAAACCCAGGTATCCCATTCCTTAGCATCACTTTCAAGCCCCTCCTGAGGGATTCTAAGGTGTCTCCAGACCAAGGAGGGTATCTAACTGCTTCAGCACATATTGGAAATGTCCTACCCGTAGAATAGCCCCAGAAAACCATGAAGAGACATCATAATCAGATGCCTGAACCACCTCAGCAAATTTATGTTTCAGAAAAGGAGCATTGGCTCTATGGATGGATTATTGAACTTGATGGTGGTTTACTAAAATTCGGCCCAGCCATCCTACAGAGGAAACTAGTTCCAGCTGCTTGTGTCCATGGAAAGCATATTACGTTGCCTGGAATGGGGAAGTTGGGGCACCTTGCTGAAGCCAGGCTTAGAGGGGGAGTGACTGGAGGTTGATCCATGGTTTCTCGAGATCAGCGAGGCACAGCCCAAAGACGCTCCAGGAAGCAACCTCCATGTGAGGAGAGAAGTCAAGGTTGGGCAGGTTGGAAGGCAGGTGGCAGATGATGGCATGGCCAAGGCATCCTGATCGCTAATGTCATAAACAGGCCCTCTAAAGCATCTCAAGCTTCAGAGCTCCTTAAACAGAGTTGCACCACTCTGAATCCCTCATAAGTAATCGGACAAAGATGGTGTAAAGGTCTTGGCAGAGCAGACTTCCTCAGATGGCTTTAATAAAGCAAGATCCATAAACATCCAATAATGTTGCTTTGGTGTGAAATGCTCATGATGATGTTTCTTTGATCAGGTTTCTGGGGGAATGCCGGCTGGCTCTCAGAGACGTCCTCAACTCCCCCAACTTTGCCGCCACCTTCACCGTCTCTCTGCTGGACATGAAGAGAAACAACATAGGGGTGAGACATCACTGTGCTAAGGAGTTAATACTGTCCCATGATTCACCAGCGAATAACAAATGACTCTGAGTTTCCCGTCTGGGGCTCAAAATAGAGAGGGACATTCTAATGTCCCAGCAGTGTGACACCTCCCTTATACTCTTTTATATTTAGGTCTGTTCTAGTCTAGTTCCAACAGAAGCACAAGAAAAGTTAAAAAGCAAAGACAGATTATTTTATTTTATAACTTCTTTCCTTATTTTGGTTCTGAATCTAAATAAATATACAAAGTTTGTATGAATGTATTTAAATCAGTGGTTCAACACAGCTAATAAACTTCAAAAGCCATCCAGGCATGACGCCACCTCGCTAGTGTTGAATTCTTCGTAACTAAAGTTTTCGTTCGTCGAGATCAAGCAGTTTCCGCTCAATGAACACTCGCTCTCTGTTCCCCGTTGATCACGGAGTGGTTTTGTGTTTACAAGCTGAAGTAAGTTTACTGTCATCGACCAGCTACGTCACTGCAATGGTAGGCAGACCCACCAGAAAAGGTCTACGCCCCCTGCTGTCCTGGCGGAGAATTGCGTTGCAACGTTGACACACCAACAAAGAAGTCAAAAAGGAAAACATCTCCATCAACACGTGGGCATGTCAGTGTAAACCTGCTGACGGAGAAGTAAAAACCAGGCTTCAGATAACATTGTCTAGTGCAATCTGAAAAATAATAAGTGTTCTGAGTTCTAAACTTTAATCCTGGTATGTTCCTGTGCTTGGAGTAAATCCTGTCAGTGTGCTTTTTAAGCTTTTCTATCAGATCTTCTTGGATTTTGCCTTCAGTTCCTCCTCAGTGACTTTTGCTGTTGGGCCTTCATAGTCTGTCTGAACTAAGGAATTCCACACACTGTAGTCCGCTGGGTCGCAGTCTAGTCTTAAGCCTGATTCATGCTTCTCCGTCTGCGTCAGTGCGGAGACATGCAACGTCCTTGCAGGCCTGCCAGAGAGCTCCGCAAGGAAAGACGGAGTCGAGCTCTCTTTTCTAAACATCCGTCAGTCGAGACGGAGAACGCAAGCTTGTGATTGGTCAGGACGCTGCTGTCGTGTACACTGCCGCCGTTGCGCCCTCAAAACCATAAAGAGAGCCGAGGATAACTAGGGGCAGACACGGAACAGCTTGAAGAATACCTCGGGAAAAAAACTCTAAAAAATGAACGTTTAATTCCCCCGTGACTGGATGAGTGAAAAGATGCGCAGCAAGCGTTTTATTTGTGGATGGAAATGACAGGAAACATGGGTTTAGAGGTGGGGAGCGCATGAAGAGATGGAGGAGGATGAGAGACAAATTCGTCTGTGTTAAAAAGTCTATTATATACAAAAAAACACAATATAAACACACTATATTGGACCGATACATGACAGGATCCCACAGAACAGCGCTACGCCCTCTGTTGTCCTGGCGGGGAATTGCTTTACAACACTCCCCAGGAGACGGAGAAGCATGGGAGCAAAACGCTTCCGTCAGTCCATGCGTGTCTGTCCCTTGCGGAGCTGACGGAGAAGCATGAATCAGGCTTTAGAGGTGTTCACTTACTCTTTTGAGAGCAGTTATATTCTACAGCATCTTCTGATTGTCTCCATCAGGCCACGCTGACCCTGCAGGTCTCCTACATCCCTCCTCCAGGATCGGCTCCGATCTTCCAGCCCCCCTCCCAGCCAGAGACTCTACCCCATATCAACCCCGGTGTGGAACTGGATACAGTTACAAGTACTGAATCTGCCCAAAATGAACGCATGCATCATTTAATTTTATTTACTGGTTAAATCCAGACGTTTTCGTTTTCCAACAGTGATTTCTCTTGACACTTTTGGCGAGGAGGACACGGAGAGTATGATCATGGTGGAGCCCCCAGAGGACCAGGGACCTGAGGACAGTCGGTCCATGGTGATCATCGGCCCCCAGGGGCCAACAGGACAAGAATCCCCCACCAGCCACACCCCCAAACGCTCACCACCGGCCTACAACACCCATGGAGGTCTGAAGAAGAAACGGAGAGGATCAAGCAGTCAGCCCAGACAGCTGTCCAACAAACCACAGGACATACAGGTCTGATGCGCTCTAGCACACTTTTATCTAAGGAGTTACCCATAATCCAGTGGGTCAAATCTGAGCGTGAAATACTTACTTTAGTCAATTTAATCTAAACCAATCATTTGTCGGTTGTTCAGGTTCGTGTTCGGGTTATCGAGGCACGGCAGTTACCTGGCATCAACATCAAGCCTGTCGTCAAGGTAACCGTATCCGGACAATCCAAAAGGACCCGCATCGTGAAAGGCAACAACCCTGTGTTTGATGAGGTAAACAAAAGCTTTAATATGCTTAACCTCCCACATTCATTCCTCTAAAGGCAGATTTAGCGTTAAGCTCATGTTTTTTAATTGTGTTTTTTAACTTCCACAGACATTCTTCATGAACTTTTTCGAGACACCCTCAGACCTGTTTGATGAGCCGATCTTCATCACTGTGAGTGTGGATTCTGCTCCTTTGATACCTTTTGGGTTTCTGATTTAGAAATCAACATTCTCGTCTCTAGGTTTGCGACTCTCGCTCACTCAGAACCGACGCCGTCATCGGTGAATTCAAGGTACAGTGTTACTGCCTGTAGTTTATTCAAATTCAATTCAAATTCAAAGATATTTCATTAATCCCAGAGGGAAATTAGCATCCAAAATGTTGAAAGGAATCATCATCTGAAATTCTTTCCTTGTTTATTTTCCAGCTGGATGTGGGCACTGTGTACAATGAGCACAGTGAGTTCATGTTTATGCTGTAATCATGTTTCAGAGTTATTTAGGAGCAGTGATTTGGATATTTCTCCCCTCTCATCAGGACACTGCTTCTTGAGGAAATGGCTGTTGCTGTGTGACCCTGATGACCTCTCTGCTGGGGTCAAAGGTTACCTGAAGGTCAGCTTGTTTGTCCTGGCAGCTGGAGATGAGCCCCCGGTGAGTTTTAGTAAGACTTTAAAATTTACTCTGTAGTTTTCTATTAACATAAACTTAAAGGAGGGATATGTAGGAATTCTACAGCGAAATAATCATAAAACAGTCAAATGACTCAGTCATGTTAGAAGGAGGGTAAAATGGACAGATTTCATTCTCAGGCAGCTGGGGGTTTCCTTTCAAAAAAACTAAAGCGGGACATAGTCACTGTTCACCGTCTGTGTGCCCGTGAGGTTGCCGAGCAACACCGTCAGGCAAAAAAAAATAAAAAAATAAAAAGCCAGAGTTGAACCAAAGCCAGTAAACAAAAGCAACTCAGACGTTATTTCTTGTACCCCAAAGAAGCCACGGCACCTTTTTGTTTTACTCTAAAGCCCCCTTCAGACAGGCCATGAAAAACGGAAATGTTCGGGACTCTGTCCGTAAGACCTTTGTGTGTGAGTACAAACATCCGGATAACCTTTTCCGTAATTAAACCAGACGAAGCCCCTAGTAACAGGTCCGGACTTGTCACGGACAAGGTGGCTGCTTCAGACTGGTGAGGTCGAGTTTCGGACAGGGAGGAGGGGGAGGAGGAGGGGACCAGGGGTCGCTGTGCGCACCTAGATAGCTCGCTCCTGTAGCATGCGGCGAACCATGGCAGCTCGCTTCCTACGGTACCGTCTCCTAGACGCGCAACGGAGCACTTCACACCGCTTCAGTGATTCCTTTAACCATTGAGCTTCATCATCCAGGTCTCTTATGCGTCTTCGTGTGCGCAGAATTATGCTTAACATAAGTCCGATCAGTGAGGGGAATTCTAGCTCTTCGTCTGCCATGTTTGACTGAATGGCTTTGTTTGGGTAAATGACGCATGTACGCCCGCCACACTATGTCCCCCGCCCCAGACATCTGGAACTTTTCCCTGCTGTGTGAAGACAGCCGAAAGGACAAGTTCAGGTACAAAAGTGGTGTGTCTGAAAACACAGTTCTGGTTAATAACCAGACTGAATTGTCCACACATATTCCAGAATGTCAATCTGAAAAGGGCTTAATATTGGGGTGGAGCAGACTACAGGCTAACGTTGAGCTTATTTCTGAATTAGAAGCAATACATAGCTCTGAAAATTTCTCAAGCTACGTTTTCAGTTACCAACAACTCGATATTGCAGTAAAATAATATGAAATGATATGTGAGTCAAGTGTGGCGTTGTACTTCTTTTAGTGAGTCGTTTAGAACTATAACAGCAGGATGCCAAACAACCACAATTTCCTGTAATGCCAAAGAAATATTACTGTAATAAGTATAGTAAGTGCTCCCAACCGTAAAACACCCAAGAGTGCTAACACCAGTTTATGAGAAAATATTTATCAACTTTTTGTGAATGACTTGTCATCATTTGTCATGTAGAATCTTCTAGAACTAATCCGTAACTGAAAACAGCCACGAAGCATGCAACTGAGAGTGTGGGCTGCCGTTACCAAAACTGACCACAGGATGTCATTCTAACATATTGCACCTTTAACTCAAACGTTGCCGAACAACTCAGTTTGTGGGTTGCATGTTTGTAGAGTTGGTGGCATTGTTGGCTCACAGTGAGAGGGTTGCTGGTTCAAATCCCAGCTGTGACCTTTGTGCATTGAGTTAGCATGTTCTCACCATGCATGCGAGAGTTTTCTGCAGATACTCCAGTTTCCTCCAAAAGGCCATAAACATGTATGGACTAGACACCTGTCCAGGTGTCCCCCACCTTTCGTCCAATGCTTCCCGCGACCCTACTGAGGAATACACGGTTAAGAAGATGAGTTTCAGATGATGTTCTTTGAGTTTTTAATTTTTATGATTTATATGTTTCCAGGCTGATAAACGTGAGTGTGTTGAGGAGAAGGAAGACATCGAAGGAAACCTCCTGAGACCTGCTGGTCTTTCTCTCAGAGGAGCCGTCTTTACCCTGAGGATCTTCAGAGCAGAAGATTTGCCTCAAAGTGAGTCTCCAGCCATAATTTCATCTTCTTCTAACATAGAAACAGAGAGACAACCGATTTGCTTCTGCAGTGGATGACGCCTTCATGGATGGAATGAGGCAGATTCTTGGATTTGATTCAAACAGGAAGAACTTGGTTGATCCGATGGTCGAGATCCAATTTGCCGGTAAAACTGTGCGTATGACCCCAACCCAAGCACTACTGGAGTTGGTGTTCTGTAGAAAAACCATTTAGAGCACATCATCTTTTTGTTTCAGGTCTGCACTAAAATCCTGGAGAAGAATGCAAATCCACAGTGGAACCAGAACCTGGCCATGCCTATTAGAGTGAGACAGACAGCATCAAGCATTGCCGCTACACTGCACTTAACCAACATTACACTGTTGCTTTTGTTTGGTTCTACAGTTTCCCTCCATGTGTGAGAAGATGAGGATCCGAATTCTGGACTGGTGAATTTTTGTCTCAAATGAGACCTTTTTTAACCAGACAAACTGTGACTAGTTGCATGAAGTTAAAGTGGGTTTTAGTTTTTGTTTGGTCACAACGTTATCATGATCCAACCAGAGGAGTTAAAGTCTTGTTGGGGGCCTGATTGAAGTGACAAGCTTATTGCACACCATCAAACTGTAGCATTGGGTCGATGGGTTTGAGTTGTGAGTTTTCTGTCATTTCAGGGACAGAGCCAGTCACAATGATGTCATCGGTACCACCCACCTCTGCATGTCTAAGATCTCCGCCCCGGGTGGAGAAATAGACGGTAAACGATTAGTCTAAGCACAGTTTTTTTTATATTCACTAAATCAGCTATGGTCTGTATCATGAATTTAATCTTTGTGAGTAATTTTTTTCTGAGGAAAAAGCTCTTACGCTCCTGTTTCAGTGGGTGAAAGTTTGTCCGGGGATTTTGGAGGGAATCGCAAGTCTTTCTCATTAATATTCATGCAAACTTCTTGCCTCTGACTGGTTAACAGCGATACAACTCTTCCGGTGCCATTGCTTGCTCTACTTTCTTGGATTAAAAAAAGCAACTTTGATGTTTAATCTGGATAAATAACACTAGCACGAACACGTTCTGCAACGTTGTGGAGTTGTTAATGCTAATGGTTAGCTTCTACTAGCTGAGACATACCCTGGTCTATCCTTCCCATGGGCAGTCGCAAAACAAGGTGGGCGGAGCCATAGTAACGTCCAAAAGGGTCAATCTTTCACCTTCTACATTGACCAACATAGTGACCTTTTATCTACAGCATAAATCCACTTTCTAAGTGGCCTTCTAAATCCAGAAGGTTCTGCTCAGCGCATGTTGACATTCCATGAAGACAAAACATTCAAATAGACACTCTGTCCCAAGGTCCTACACTCTCTGCTTAGAAGCCAGACAACATTCTTTACTCTGAATAAGTGAAGACTCCATGATTTTATAGTTATAAGTTAAATAATCATATGTGATGAATGAACAAAATGTTTAAGTCAAATGTTTGAATAACTTGTGCTTAAATCAATGAATTTGAAATGAATATTGTTCTTACAATGATCCATTTATATCACAAATCACAATGTGTTACCATATCGTGGTAGGCAGGGGCCACGATGAGAAGGAAACCAGATCCATGAGCAGAAACAGACCAGATCCCAGTAATCCGTAGCGATCCGTAGCGATCCAGGAAACCATAGCAGGAAAACCATAGGATGTCCAGAACTCCAGAAGAACCGGAACCCAGAGCAGCAGAACCAGGCAATGAAGCAGTGATGTTACATGTGATTATTTAACTTATAACTATAACATTGTGGAGTCTTCACTTATTCAGAGTGAAGAATGTTGTCTGGCTTCCAAGCAGAGAGTGTAGGACCTTGGGACAGAGTGTCTATTTGAATGTTTTGTCTTCATGGAATGTCAACACGCGCTGTGCAGAACCTTCTGGATTTAGAAGACCACTTAGAAAGAGGATTTATGCTGTAGATGAAAGGTCACTATGCTGGTCAATGTAGATGTGAAAACTGATCCTTTTGGTACGTTACACCACAAATACTAATTTACCCTCTGACATAGAAGAGACCGGCTCTTGTGTCTGTAAATAAGTCATGTCTACTTTCTGGAGATTAAGTTTTGCCACTACCATGAGGAGTTTACATGTTATTTAGTCTAGCATGCTACTTCCAGTGGCTAACGCTAGTTGACGGGTTTGCCAGCGTGATGAGCTACATCAACTCACATAGATCAACCTTTCTCTCTGAACATGCTAACTCACATTAGCATATTGGAAGCAAATTGTTTCTGTCTTTTGCAAGACCTAGTTGTTTTTTGGTGTATTTTCTAGTTTTGAAAGCATGGATGTTTTGAACTATTGGATGGTTCAGCGGTTTGTCAACGTAACAAAGCGTGGCAGTTTCACCAACACATGCATGAACTTGATATGTTTGAGGAATGCCTCAATCCAGTTTAAGACAGCATGTGTTGCTCACTCTCTGCAAACAAACATGCTTGTTTTGTGTTTGCTGGAGAAAACATGAACACGATGGGAGTTTACTCTTATTTCATGATTTTTACTTAACAAACAGGATAAAAACCACACATTTTGGCTTGTTTTTGGGTTCAACATCCACCTTTCTTTTCTTTCTGTGTTTGAACCTCTATGATTTCTTTTTAACCATCCTTCCTCTCCACGCATTCAGATGACTTGACTCCTCGGACCGTCCACTCCGGCAGTACGTCCACCATCCTCTCTACACCACTTCTGTCCAACCACACAGATCTAAATTAATCTTTTTCACTTTGTCTGATTTCAGTTTTCCTTTTCTTCCTTTATAAATCTATAAAAATTAAATATATATTCTGCTGAGATTTAACAAACATCTGATCTAGCTACTTCAATTAAACAACCCAATACATCCACCAGATTCCTTGATATGCCATGATTGTTTGTTGACCTGCTAGTGAAGGTTTCTGTGAATTTTCCTGTCTTGCAGTTGATGATAGTCTTGGTTTCCTGCCAACTTTTGGTCCGTGTTTTGTCAACTTGTACGGTAGCCCCAGAGAGTTCTCCACATTTAATGACCCCCATGAGGCTTTAAATCTCGGAAAGGTGAACCTTCAAATATATTTCTTGAACACCATCAGTCTCATTCGGATGAAAAATATTTGATGGTTGTTTGATGTTTTAGCTAAGTTAGTTAACCCTAAACTCTCCATTCTGTCCATCAGGGGGAGGGTGTGGCATACCGAGGGAGACTTTTACTCGAACTGAGCACTAAGCTAGTGGACAAGCCAGAGCACAAAGCTGAAGACATACCATCAGATGATCTGTTGGTGTTGGAGGTGACGAAGAAAGACAGTCTCAATACAAACTTAGTGTAGATCAAAGAAAGAGAGTTGATGTAATTACTCTCTCTCCATTTCACAGAAGTTTCTCAGGAAGAGGAAGTTTTCTCTTTTTGTGGCGTTTTACTCAGCCACGCTCCTACAGGACGTTGACGATGCTATTCAGTTTGAAGTCAGCATCGGTAACTATGGCAACAAGTTTGACTACACCTGCCTCCCTCTGGCCTCAACCACCCAGTTCAGCAGGGCTGTGTTTGATGGTAAGCTGCTGGTTAAAGGTTAGGTTTATTTTATTTGCCACCTAGTGGTTATTAGAAATCCTTTTGTAACCTGGATTACAAAGTAATTAGATTTGCAATCATTCTGGTTCCCTTGATTTTCCTGCCTTGGTCAATAGCAACACTGTTATGAACTAATAGGTTTTATTCATGCAAATGGGTCCATTTCATAATTGAGATTTCAAAAAAAATTACAGAAATGATCCATTTCTCCTAAACAATTAAGTAAAACCTGAATAATCAGGAGAAAGATCTAAATGTCATCAGCAAATAATGAAAGGCAAAAAAAAAAAAAAAAGGAACCTAATGAAAAATGCACAATAAAAAGAGAATGGGACCAAACATTGAGCCTTGAGGCACCCCACAAGTAAGTGGGGACATGAATTAAGCACACAGAGAAAGGTGTGACTGGATCCATTTAATTAAAACCTGTCCTTTGACACCAACACGTGATCAACATGCAAAAAAAGACATAGACTTAACAGAACCACAACAGTAGAATTACCAGAAACAACAGCTAAATGAAAGTAAGATGTTTATGTGCTTTTAGGTAACTTAAAACCTGACTAAAAGGTCTCAGAGACACGTTTAAAGTCAAGTTTTAAATGTCAAAATCACACAATTTACTTACTATTTTCATAGAGGAGAATATTCTGGTTATATTCTTTCAACAAACTCATTTATTGTATAGTTTCAGCTTTAATATTTTGCCTGTTTCAGGCTGTCACTACTACTACCTGCCGTGGGGAAATGTTAAGCCGGTGGTGGTTCTGTCTTCAGAATGGGAAGACATCCGACCAAGGATCGAGGCTTTCAACATGCTGCTGGCTATCATAGACAGACTGGTGTGTGCTCCTATTTCTTAGGAACCACAGCTCTTCTACAGATCCAGTAGTGTGAGGGAGAATGAACTGTGTTTGTGCATCCAGGAGGAGAACCTGAAGCGGGTTCAGCTGGAGGTGAAAACAGGCAGCAATCTGGAGGAGGTAGAGCAGCGAGTGATCGAGCTGTTGGATCAGCTCATCACAGACTGCAGGTATACACCAGTTTCTAAGCCTGCCAAGGCTCATGTGCTTAAATAAGTTCATTCAGTGGTAAATTTGAACTTGTCTCAGAGTATTACTGTTAGTTTTAACTGTTATCTTTTTGTATTTTTTTCCTTTTCTGTTTTTTATTTTCCTGTCAGCGAGGAGCTACCCTCCTTTGAGCAGTGGCAGTGTGTCACCCCTCTGGATCGCTCGCTGAAGCACATTCGGACCCTCCATCTGCAGCAGATCGTAGCAGGGGCTCTGGCACTGAAGCATGGACCTGAAACTGAGCTCTCCACGGTGCTGGAGCAGGCTGAGGACTGGGCCAACAGGCTGAAGAGCATGGCTGAGGAAGTGAGCGTGTGTCTTAGAGGTATGACCTCTCAGTAAGAAGCAAACTGCTGCAGATGTTGTCTCTTTGTTGTTTGTCCATTCAGCCCCAGAACAGTCTCCCCGACATTGTGATCTGGATGCTGCAGGGCGACCGCAGGGTGGCGTATCACCGCATCCCAGCGCACACTGTTCTTTTCTCCCAGCAGCATTGTGGCAAACACTGTGGGCAGCTGCAGAACATTTTCCTCAAGGTATTGTAACCACCGCACAGTTAGTGGTTCCTTTGGTTTTTCAGGATGGCAGATGATTAAAGGGGAAATGATAAACAAGTCTCACTTTTGCATCCTTTTATTCTGTCACATGGGTCTCTACAGCCACTAAAACCATCCAAACAAATAAAAACCATGTATCTGTTTTCTGTCAGATTTCAGGAAATATTCGCTCCTACGAGCCGATTGAAATTGTCCCCTGTTATGACAACACATTAGGGAAAATTAGCAGAGAAACATGATGCATCATGTAATATTATTAAAAGTATGTATTAAACCTTAATTAAAAGAAATTTGGGAAATTCAAAGGTGAACATTGTGGGTTGGCAATACAATCCTCAGATCAACCTCTAGGAGATCCATAAGAGTCATAACAGCACACACACATTCCTTTCTTCAGATGACATGTCACCAACCTGGTCTGTCTGTGTTTGCTGTTCAGTACCCCCAGGGCAGCGGCGGAGAAGCCAAACTTCCGGGCCAGCTGAGGGTCAAAGTCTGGTTCGGATTGTCTGTTGATGTCAAACACTTCAACGAGTATGCTGAAGGAAAACTGTCCGTCTTTGCTGAGACGGTAAGAGATGTGTATGGATGTTGCAGCTATAACACAAACTCAAAGTATGACAGTTAAGCTTTAAATAGCCAAACTCGCCTAAAGATATCTTGATTAAAGGAGCTTTGATCCTGCCCTGATTTCTTCATAATTTCTTCCCAAGGAGGCAAACCTTTTGGAAAGTTGAAAGTTTTTCCTGAAATAAGCTTTTCCTCAGACTTCGCTGCTTTTTCACTAAGCATTAAAACAACAACAACAGGAGGGCTACATCATCCTTTTGTTAACTATTTACTTCATGTGACGTTTTAGGCTAGTAACTCTTTGGAAATAGCTTTGTTGGAGCAAAAATAATTTAACATTTTCATATGCAGTTGAAAAAATATTTTTAATACATTAAACAAAACAAAATGATAAAACATAACTGAGTATTCGTGAGAGGCTGGGGGTATAAAAGTGCCCAAAAAGTTGACAATAGAAACAAAGGCTCTTTAAGTTGTATGTTATGTGTCAACTCAACATTGGTTCATCCCTTGAGTTAGGTGCCTTTTGATACCTGAATGACTCATAGAAGAGTATGAAATGAGTAAAAATGGCAGCAATAGTACCCCCCATAAAACTATAACAATGTAAATAAAAACCACTGATCAAGGCCATAGTAAAGATTTAGAGGATTCGCATTACTGGGATCACTGGAGATGCAGTGGCTCAGAAGGCATGGCAGGACATCAGAAATTTGTTGTAGTGTCCTTTGGCAAGACACTTCTGCCAAAAGTCTTAAAAGATAAAATCTTGGAAGGAAACGTGTGACAGCATGTAGATTTCCATATTAGCACCACCTCTATCAGTGTGAAATTTATTATCAAAGATCCTGATGTTAATAACAGCATCACTAACTGAAGACAGAGATGAGGGTGCTTTAGGTTGATTGAAACTTCTCCTTGGACTCTCTGCAGTATGAGAACCAGACCCGACTGGCTCTGGTGGGAAGCTGGGGAACAACAGGTTTAACTTACCCAAAGTTCAGCGACGTTACCGGGCGGGTGAAGCTGCCCAAAGAGAGCTTCAAGCCCTCACCTGGATGGACCTGGGCTGGAGACTGGTTCATCAGCCCTGAGAGGACGTAAGTTATGAAAGCTGAAAGTTTCAGGAAATGAGAAAAACATTTTTCACTTGTTCTTAAAACTTTCTTCACTATTGAATTCCATTCAAGTTTATTTATATAGCGCCAAATCACGACAAGGGTCGTCTCAAGGCACGTCAGTTCAATAAGCCAATCAGAAAACCTTTTCCTATATAAGGAACCCAGCAGATTGCAACTTGTTGCAATCCTCATACTAAGCAAGCATTTAGCGACAGTGGAGAGGAAAACTCCCTTTTAACAAGAAGAAACCTCCAGAGGATCCTGGCTCAGTAATACTAGATACTATATAAACTCACAGACAGATGTAAAAGGTCAACACCTGAGCTGATTCATGCAAAAACATGAAAATGGGGATAATTTTTTATATTTTCCTTTGTTTGAAAGGCCTTTTTTATTTACGAATTTTCCCACCAAAATCTATAGATCTGCTATTTATTGATGAATGAATAATTTTAATACAGGCCCTTCTAAAAAAATTTGCATACTGTGATAAAGTTCATTATTGTCTGTAATGTACTGATAAACATTTGACTTTCATGTATATTAGATTCATTACACACCACTGAAGTAGTTCAAGCCTTTCATTGTTTCTAATAAGGATGATTTTGGCATACAGCTCATGAAAACCCAAAATTCCTATCTCAAACAATTAGCATATCATGAAAAAGTTCTCTAAACGAGCTATTAACCTAATCATCTGAATCAACTAACTAACTCTAAACACCTGCAAAAGATTCCTGAGGCTTTTAAAAACTCCCAGCCTGGTTCTTTACTCAAAACCGCAATCATGGGTAAGACTGCCGACCTGACTCCTGTCCAGAAAGCCATCATTGACACCCTCAAGCAAGAGGGTAAGACACAGAAAGAAATTTCTGAATGAATAGGCTGTTCCCAGAGTGCTGTATCAAGGCGCCTCAGTGGGAAGTCTGTGGGAAGGAAAAAGTGTGGCAGAAAACGCTGCACAATGAGAAGAGGTGAACAGACCCTGAGGAAGATTGTGGACTGAGTCTGGAGTAGAAACATCCAGAGCCACCGTGTACAGTCGTGTGCAGGAAATGGGCTACAGGTGCAGCATTCCCCAGGTCAAGCCATTTTTGAACCAGAAACAGCGGCAGAAGCGCCTGACCTGGGCTACAGAGAAGCAGCATTGGATTGTTGCTCAGTAGTCCAAAGTACTTTTTCAGATGAAAGCAAATTTTGTATGTCATTTGGAAATGAAGGTGCCAGAGTCTGGAGGAAGACTGGGCAGAGGGAAATGCCTGAAGTCCAGTGTCAAGTACCCACAGTCAGTGATGGTCTGGGGTGCCATGTCAGCTGCTGGTGTTGGTCCACTGTGTCAGGGTCAGTGCAGCTAGCTATCAGGAGATTTTGGAGCACTTCATGCTTCCATCTGCTGAAAAGCTTTATGGAGATGAATATTTCATTTTTCTGCACGACCTGGCACCTGCTCACAGTGCCAAAACCACTGGTAAAAGGTTTACTGACCATGGTATTACTGTGCTAAATTGGCCTGCCAACTCTCCTGACCTGAACCCCATAGAGAATCTGTGGGATATTGTGAAGAGAAAGTTGAGAGACGCAAGACCCAACACTCTGGCTGAGCTTAAGACCGCTATTGAAGCATCCTGGGCCTCCATAACACCTCAGCAGTGGCACAGGCTGATTGCCTCCATGCCACGCCGCACTGAAGCAGTCATTTCTGCAAAAGGATTCCCGACGAAGTATTGAGTGCATAACTGAACATAATTATTTGAAGGTTGACTTTTTTAAATTAAAAACACTTTTCTTTTATTGGTTGGACGAAATATGCTAATTGTTTGAGATAGGAATTTTGGGTTTTCATGAGCTGTATGCCAAAATCATCAATATTAGAAACAATAAAAGGCTTGAACTACTTCAGTTGTGTGCAATGAATCTAATATACATGAAAGTCTAATGTTTATCACTACATTACAGAAAATGAACTTTATTACGGCATGCAAATTTTTTGAGAAGGACATGTATTTTTTTAAATCATGCTCCTATTTTGCTGTGGACACTTGAGCCAGTTTATTATAGGGGCTGTTTCCCAGACAAGCCCCCAATTGTCAGTTTTAACGTGTGATTTGGTAACATTGTTTCCAATGGAATTTTTATTAGGACAAACATTTGTTTTTAAAATTCACTCTAAAGTAAGCTTCTTTAAGTTTTTTCCTAACCTCACTCCTAAGTACACATTTTTGTTTTTTGACATAATTATTTATTAGGCTGATCATGTACAAAGTAACCACATGGAATTATATTTTCTTTCCATTTTTAGACCATTTTCCATTTTTTTCTTTCCTCCCCAGAATCCAATTAAAAATCAACAACAATTACTGTTTGTTATTATGTAGTGTCACAACCAGTTGGAAAGAATAGTATTATTGACATGTGGTTAAATTGGGATGAAGAATGAAAGAAAGAAATAAAGAAAACAGTCTTTTATATAGCACCTCTCAAGATAAAAATCACGAGGTGCTTCACATAAACAAACAAACAAACAAAAAAAAACAATTAAATTATAAAAAGATAAAAGAAAAGATTAGAATATGTTTAAAGTGAAAACAAGAAACAAAAAAATGTGATAAAAAATTATAATAATATAAGGAAAGGAAAAAAGAAAATTAATAGGAAAGAGGGAAATCAGTGGATCCCGGGAAGGTGGAATAAGAACAGAATATGAAGAGGGTATGATGAAGGTCACATCAAAACCAGCCTGAACAGGTGAGTTTTCAGCTGCATTTTAAAGGAGTCCACTGATCTCAGGCTCAGGGGGAGAGAGTGCAGAGTCTGGGGGCCACAGCAGCAAATGATCTGTCACCTTTGGTCTTTAGCCTGGTGCTGCACAACCAGTAGGCTTTGGTCACTGGACCTCAGGGACCTGCTGGGGGTGTAAGGACTGAGAAGACCACCAATGTATGATGGTGCTTGTCCATGTAAGACTCTAAAGATCAGAACCAGAACCTTGAAATGAACCCTGAAGTTGACTGGCAGCCAATGAAGCTGGAGGAGAAGCGGGGTGATGTGGGTGTGTTTGGATGACTTGGTCAGAAGCTGAGCACAGGTATTCTGAACCACCTGTAGACGGTTCAGGGAGGTTCTGCTCAGACACGTGAAAAGCGAGTTACAGTAGTCTAAGCGTGAGGTTATATTTCCCTTGGATATGGATAACAATCTCAAGTTCAGAGTGGGACAGAAGTAAAAGTCCCATAGTCATCACACACTGGTGAAATTCAACTCCACATTTGACCAATCCCCATGGAGAGGAGCGGTGAGCTGCAGCGGTGGCTGCGCTTGGGAACTATTTGGTGGTTTAACCCCCCAATCCAACCCCTTAAAGCTGAGTGTCAAGAAGGGAGGCATTGGGTCCCATTTTTAAAGTCTTTGGTATGACCCGACCAGGAATCGAACCCCCATCTCCCAGTCTCAGGGAGGACACTCAACCATTAGGTCACTAAGCCACTGAGAATGGGACTCAGCTTAGCAATGTTCCTGAGATGGAAGAAGGAAGAGCGAACAAGAGAACTGACATGAGAATCCAGGGTGAGAGCTGGGTCAAAGGTCACACCAAAGTTCTTTGCTATAAAATGCTATAAAATTCTATAGAGTTGACCAGAACTAGCAGATAAAATAAAATTTAGCCCAACTTTGTTAATACAGCCCTATAGCCTGGCCCACCCGACTCACCCTTTGTCTATTTTACACAGAGGACATTTGCTTCCCATAAGGAAGCGCTGGCATGGCTGGCCAGGCTATATAGCTGGTAGAGGACAATCAAAACTTTCATAAACTAGCACAGTTTTCCATCGAAACATTGCTTAAACATAAATATGACTTTATATTTTGAATGTAAATTAGATTTTTTGAGTGACTGTCTTTGGCATAAATGCCTGTATCAGTGTTTGATATTTGTTGGATAATACCTTGTTTGGTTTGTCTCAGACTGCTCTTTGACGTGGACGCTGGTCACATGACCTTTACAGAGGAGGTGTTTGAGAACCAGATGAGGTTACCGGGTGGACAGTGGATCGGCATGCCAGAGGGGTACACAGATGTGGTATGGACCTGAAATCGTTTCCACTACGGCGTCCTTTAATGTCTGTGAGTCTATAATCTGTGATTTGTGTCAGAATGGGGAGAAAGCAGTGCCAAAAGATGAAGTCGAGTGTCCTCCTGGTTGGGTGTGGGATGAGGTGGAATGGAGTGAAGACCTCAACAGAGCTGTGGACGACCAAGGTGCTTGTGCACAAAAGGACCCAACAGCTGCCAGAGAAGAAAACAAACCCAATGCTAATAAATTGTGTGTGTGTTCAGGTTGGGAGTATGGCATCACCATTCCTCCAGACCGCCGCCCCAAATCCTGGGTTCCAGCAGAGAAGATGTATCACACCAACCGGAGACGCCGATGGATACGGATGAGGCGACGAGACCAGCAGAAGATGGAGGCTCTTAGGAAGGTAAGAGAGAGAGAGAGTCAGCCATCGTTCCAAGAGACAGAAATGTAACCAAAGTTAGTAAAACAGCTGCAAGAAATGTTCTCATTGATCCCCATCAGATCTAGGTGAAACAGGTAAGAAAGCCCCACCCCCTTTGGAGCTCTATGACCCCACCTTTGCAGTGTCTACCTCCCAAAGGTGTTCTTACGCTTTGGACTAAATCCATAAAAAGTTTGTTGAAACAAATAATTTTTTGGCCTTTGTTAAACCCTTGAGGTACAATATTCTGGGAAAATATGTGCTCAGGTGAACTGGGATTGAACCAGCAACCCCTGCCATGACTGTTTTGTAGAATTAGCAGACAAAATGATTTGTTTGGTTTTTAATATGAATATAATTTTTAGTAAAAAAAAAAAGATCATGTTTTGAAGCCAACAATTCCCTTTTTAACCAATAGATGGTGGTCAAGTTTCACAAATCGAAACACCAAGAAACTTCAGTTTGAACTCCAATGTGTGTGTGTGTGTGTGTGTGTGTGTGTGTGTGTGTGTGTGTGTGTGTATGTGTGTGTGTGTGTGTGTGTGTGTGTGTGTGTGTGTGTGTGTGTGTGTGCTCCACAGCAGCGTCCAGATGAGACAGAGAGGGAAGGCTGGGAATACGCCTCACTGTTTGGCTGGAACTTCCACCTGAAACCCCGGAAGACGGACAGCTTCCGGAGGCGCAGGTGGAGGTGCCGCATGGAGCCGCTGGAGAAGACAGGACCTGCCGCCATATTTGCTCTGGAGTGTTCCTTGGTGAGGACTGGGGGGATGAACATTTAAAGATGCATCAAACACATCCCTGATCTACAAATTAAAGCTGCTGCTGTGACAATGTTTGGGAAAAACTATAGTACTAATAGAAAAAAAAAACAAAGACTCCATGTATTCAATTAGGCATTTAATCGTCATATTTCAGTTTTAATATATATACACGCAAGCATTTCCTGGAAGCTTTTTTGTCTCACTTTTTTTCTTCCCACAGAGCAGCATAGAGGACAAGCACGATGACAAGTCAGTCACTACCACTTTTGGAGTGAACAGACCAACTATTTCCTGTTTCTTTGATCGTAAGGAGTTGCTTCCTGCCGTTCTGCTTTTGTTTCTCTCTTCTCCAACTGCGCCCTTTGAGCGTGTTTAATATGTTTATATGTGTGCAGGTGGCACCCGTTACCACCTGCGCTGCTACATGTACCAGGCCAGAGACCTGCTGGCCATGGACAAAGACAGCTTCTCAGGTAACGTGAGACGAATGAAGGTCTTCCATCCGTCTGTGCTGGTGTCTCAGGGACATCTACTGGTTGAAAAGCTCAGTTTGTGAAACCTCCCAACCTCACTCCCCAGCTTTCAGGAATTTAGTTAGAGCTTTCTGATGAAAGCCAAAAGTTTTCCCCTGTTTACTGTTTGTGCAACATCATTTTTTGTTTGCTTTATTAATTAGGATTTTGCTGAAACAACAAAGTCCCAAAGTCCTTCAAAATAAAATACAATGAGAGTTGCATAGTTTTAATGAAATAATACATCTATCAACATCCGAAACTTTTTCCACATGTACAAAAAACCCAAGACTCAAACGTTGTTCTGAAATCTGTCTACATGTGCGTTAGTGAGCTCTGTGCCTTTACCAGGATAATCCGTCCCATCTGTGTGGCATCATGTGGGTAAACGGTTTGCTGAGGTCAACATTGTGGAACGAGTGTGGCCCATGATGGCGGTGGGGTACTGGTATGGGCAGGCGTATATTCTGAATGCACAGAGGTACCTTGACGAGATCCTGAGGCCCATCGTTGTGCCATTCATCCACGACCATCACATCATGTTGCTGCATGATAACGCACGGCCCCATGTCGCAAGGATCTGTACACTATTCCTGGAAGCTGAAAACATCCCAGTTCTTGCATGGCCAGCATACTCAACAGACTTGTCACCCATTGAGCATGTATTGGGTGCTCTGGATTGGCGTACAGGGGTGACAGTAGCACAGGAGTTACGTGCTAGCCCCATAATCGGAAGATTGCAGGTTCAAGTCTCGCCCAGTTTGTCGCTGTCGTTGTGTCCTTGGGCAAGACACTTAACCCACTTTGCCTGCTGGTGGTGATCGGAGGTACCGGTGGCAACAGTGCTCGGCAGCCTCTCCTCTTTCAGGGCAGTTGTGGCTACATCGTAGCTCATCCCCACCAGCGTGTGAATGTGTGTGGGAATGGGTGAATGACTGATAGTGTTGTAAAGCACCTTGGGGGGTTCCATGACTCTGGAAGGCTCTATATCAAATACAAGCCATTTACCATTTTACCATACGACAGCGTGTTCCAGTTCCTGCCAATGTTCAGCAACTTCACAAGAGGAGTGGACCAACAGTCCACAATCAACAATCTGATCAACTATATGCGACAGAGATGCGTTGCCCTGTGTGGGGAAAATGGTGGAAACACCATGATGCTGAATGGTTTTCTGCCCCCCCCCATAAAGCAAACCTGTGCACATGTCAGGGTGGCCTTTTATTGTGGGCAGTCTAAGGCACACCTGTACATTATTCATGTTGTTTAATCAGCCCCTTGATATGCCACACCTGTGAGGTGGGATGGGTTATCTTAGTAAAGGAAAAGTGCTCACTAACTCATGTAGACAGATTTCAGAACAATGTTTGAGAGTCATGGGTGTTTTGTGTATGTAGACAATTTTTCAGATGTTTGAGTTCAGCTCATGAAAAATCTGAGCAAAATCAAGTGTTGTGTTTATTTTTTTTATTCATTATATTTTTTCTGAATAGAATCAGTTGCTCATTCTGCCATCTGAAGCTCAGCTCTTATCTGTCTCACTTCTTGTTCCTAAAACAGGTGCACCGGAGCGTTTCTTCCACAGTTGGACTTACTAGGCATTAATTCCTACTAGAGTCCACTGCAGTTGTATTAAAATATGAGTAAAGTTGATCTTTAAGACAAAAAATAGCCACATTAGAGCTAAATGAGATGAATTAAATCACACAAAAGCATATATATACCGTAAATCCTCTAATATTAGCCTGTATTCCATTAACGGCCGGGTATCACGTTTTGGCCGGTGTCGGCAGAGGTGAATAATGGCCTTTTTTTTTTTGTGGCTGGGTGGAATGTGGTAACAGGCAAGTACCACAGGGGGGCGGTTTTGCTATCCGTCTCACTTTTGATAGTGATAGACTACCAGGGAAATTTTAACCATGGCTGGTGCAGAGACGAAAAGGAGGCGAAACTTTGATATCAAGTTCAAAGAGAACGTGCTGATATATGCTGCAGAACACT